AAAACAAAAAACCCAAAAAAGTAATAATATTGATGTTGTTGACAGTAATATTATTGTGTTTACAGTTATTTTACTGTCAACGACAGTAATATAATTATGTTGATTTGTCAACAATTCAACCAAAATAAAAAAAATACCAAAAAATAAAAAATAATAATTTTCCGTTAATTTACTATCAACGGCAGAACAATTACATAAATGTATTGTCAACGGCAGTACAATTACGTTAATTAACTGTCATTGACAGTATAATTATGTTAATTTACTGTCAGTGACAGCACAATTACGGTCAACGTTTAGCCGGCGGACGTAAAAAAAAAAAAAAAAAAAAAAAAAAGTCAACGCCGGAATCCGGCGGCGGAAAAAAACAGATCGAGAGAAAAAATCGAAAAGTCAACGCCGGAATCCGGCATCAAAAAAAAAAATTGAAAAAAAAAAGTTTGTAAAAAAAAAAAGTCAAAATTGGATTTTTGTTGACAAAATTGATTAAATTGGGGTTACAATTAAGAATTTGGTATAAAGGGTTGGGGGTAATATTGTCATATACATGAATGTTTCCTTTATTTATAATAAATATTAAAGGGATGGGCTTATTTTATATATAAAAAAAGAAACGCTGGGCAACCCTAAAAATCCCTAATGGTATTTCTGTAATTATTTATTTTTAATATTTTTTATGTACTAATTTTCACTAATTATCAATCTCAAGAATTTGGTACAAAGGGTTGGGGATAATATTAGAAAAATTTGAATCCGAAGAGGAAGATAGTAAAGAAGAGGGTTCATCGGGTCATGAAGAGAGGTGCCTCCTGGGGATCCTGTAGAGATGGCAGCGGGCGGCGGCGGAGGAGGGTAGGCTGGAGAATGTGAAGAGGAGGAGCTGTGGATTGGGCTTTGTTTAAGAGGTGGTGGTTCGAATTGTTGCGCCTGAGTGGTGATGAATTTGGGAAAAAAATGAAATTGTTGGGTTTTTTTGTTGGTGGTGGTGGCGGCGGCGGCGGTGGTGGTGGTGGATGTCAAAAGAACTCAAAATCCTCATTCCAAAAAATTACCAAATTCAGTTAAAACAAATGTATTAGACGAATTCCATCTTCGAGTTGGTGGTACCATCACCTTTGGATCTTCGATTTGTTGGAAGAGGTAATGACATCTCCCCACAATCTCAAACCCACACACGCATTTTCTTCTTCTCTCTTCTTTGTGCAAAATTCTCCACCCATCAATTTCTTTTTGATTTCACATGTTTTAGAGTCTCAGTTTGAAGATTTTCCGAGGAGCATGTTCTGTCACCAATCGCAGATTTTCCAACCGTCTTCTTCTTCTTCTTCTTTTTCTTTCTTTTTTTTTTTTTTTTTTTAATTTATGAAGAATGTAAGTGAATAGACTCTTTTGCCCCTTTAAAACTCACGTGAAAAGCACGTGCGTAAGATTCCGGTCAAAATGGCCGGAAAATTCCAATTTTGAGGCACCGTGCAACAAAAACCGAAGTTTAGGTAAGAACGTGCAAATTTTTTTTGTTTGGCGGGCAAAGTGCAAAACAACCATTTGTTTAGGGGGCAAACTGTTTTTTACTCTATTAATAATACTGAAATATCAATAGCATTTTTACTTTATTAACCATAAATAATATGTAGTGTAACTTATTAATTAAGGGTAAAATAGGTATCACAAAAAAGTTAAGAAACTAAAAACATTCATGCTTTTAAAGGTAGGGTAGATAGGTTATGGTCGATTTGATTGATTAATTTGCAAAATGAGAGGATCAAATATCAACAACAGCTAGAGATCATATTATTCAGCTCTTTCAAAAATTTAGTAGCTTCAACACAATAGAGTTTTTTTATTTTTTTTTTACAAACAACACAACAAAGTTCTACAATGGAAAATAAAAAAGAGAACTACTCTTCTAATATGATTGACATCTGAGTTTGATAATGTTTTCCATCAATGGGATTTGTAGTAGCTGGAAATGGATTCGGAGGCATTGTAAGATCGTCACATTCTCCTTCCAGCATCTGAACTACAGCTTTCATTGACGGACGATCTGTCGGACACCACTGTATACACCACAACCCTATTATACTAAGTTTCCTTGCTATACTATTTCCTTCTTCGTCAATTTGTGCCCACATTGGATTATCCTCCGCATTTATATGATTGTATATCCATTGAGGGAAATATACCTGACTAGTATTATTAACATTACGATCCTCATTTTTCCTCCCTCCCACCATTTCGAGTAACAGCATTCCGAAGCTATAAACATCGGACTTATACGAAACCCTCCCGAAAGTCCTGGACAGAACTTCAGGTGCAATATATCCCATTGTTCCTCTAGCCGCAGTCATTGTCACTGCACTTTGTTCCTTTGAGCACAACTTTGCAAGGCCAAAATCGCAAATCTTCGGGTTGAGGTTGTGGTCCAACAAGACGTTTTGCGGCTTTATGTCGAAGTGGAGTATTTGTTGATCACATCCCTCGTGTAGATATTCTATGCCTTTTGCTATGCCTAGCGCAATATCCTTTAGCTTTTCCCAATCAAGAGTAATTCTATTCGAACCCGCTTGGAAAATGGACTTTTCTAAAGAACCGTTTGGTAAGAATTCATAAACAAGAGCTCTTCGAAATCCATCAGCACAAAATCCAAGAAGACGGACAACGTTGACGTGGTGTATTCTCCCAATCGTACTTACTTCATTCACAAACTCCTCTCCATTGCCGTTGGAATTGTTGAGTACTTTCACTGCAACGTCTATTTCGTTATTCAACTTTCCTTTGTAAACAATTCCATAACCCCCTTCACCCAATTTCTCGTTAAATTGACGAGTAATCCTTTTTATATCGGAGTATGAAAATCGACTCGGCTTAAGGGCTTTGTAATCTCGCAAAAACTTCCCAATCATCGTTTGGTTCTCTCGGTAGATTCTAACTCTGATGTAAAGATAGACAAAAGCCGCTAGTATTATCGCGGCAATAATGGAACCAAAACCTTTGAAATAGAACATACAAGTCAGATTCTTAAGTCAATCCATTAGTTGCGTAAAAATATCAAAACAGGAATAGGAAAAATGTTCACCTTCAATCAATTTAATATTTCTTGCTCCTGCTCCATGATGGTTTGTGGTTGGGAGTTGGTCAAGACACCGAATATGAGGATCCGATGTCGTAGAATTAAACGAGCTGCATCTCTTGCCTTCATCTTCACATATGGAACATGCTGGTTCAGACCATTCCAAAGAGAAGTTGGATTTTTGAAATATTCCCCCCGGAACAGATTTAAATTCAGATGTTTTGGTACAAGAAGTCAAAGGAAGTGAATCAAGCGACGTTTGCGAATTAACTGCATAGATTTGGTACGTGGAATCGCCAAGGCAAGGAATTGCGTTACCTAAGTCTCTTCTTGGCGGATCAGAACAATTGAATAGGGTATAGTCGTATAAGTAATATTTCACATGGAAAGGGGAAGCAGATAAGTTTAGATCATGCAGCTTTTTTGGAAGACATATTTCATGGTCATAAACCAGAATTGTTTGAGTTACATAGTTGATTTTGTTCACAACAACATTTACGGAGAAGGGAAGAACAAGAACAGTATTGTTTTTGTGGTCGCAGTTTAGATCGAAACCCGGATAGCCGCAGTGCTGAGGTTGCTGAGTTTGATGTCTGAAAGGAAACCGAATTATCGGGCCATCGTCTCTGCAACTGGTTTGCATACAATCATCATCGTTTCCTAGTACTAGCACAACAAGTGGTAACAACCAAAAAAAGTAAACGAAGGGAGACATGATCTGAATTATGAAGATTTCTCTATTTGCTATTACCATTTATCTTCACAGTATTAAACTATTTTGTTGTCAAATTTTATTTTCTAATAATTTTGCTAATCAAGTCACATTCTTGACTGGTTCCTTAACAACTGACCTGATCATAAATTCGTTTTTGTTGCTACTAGCATAAATCTAAAAATGAAATTACTTGAATACTTTGGTAGATAGAATTATGACTCCAGGATTTCACAAAAACTTTCACGTACATACTAGAGTATAAAATAATTCAGAATAGATTGGTAAACAAAATTATTATATTTAAAAAAATTGGGCAAATGGGAAATATGCGCATGACAACGGCACTTAAAAAATTCAGAATAGATTAGTTTCCGGCGTTGACTTTTTCCTTTTTATTTTTTTTTATTTTTTTTTTCATAAAAAATATTTTAATTAATACTACTGTCTTGGCTGCTAAATTACTGTCTCCATTAGTTATTTAATTGTCGAATACAGTAATTTAACTCTTAATTGACTGCTTTTTTTAAAAAAATATTTTAATTAATATTACTGTTTTGGTTGCTAAATCACTGTCTCCAACAGTAATTTAACTGTGGGAGACAGTAATTTAACTGTTAATTGACTTTTTTTTTTTCTTAAAAAAAATATTTTAATTAATATTACTGTCTTGACTAGGGATGTGCATGGATCGGTTTTAACCACCAACCAACCCATTTTCGACCCATAATTTGTGACGGATAATCAACCATCAACCGAGCCATTTAAGTTGGGTCGATAATGTTAACCATCCCATGTATAGTTGGGTCGATAATAGTTTCTAATATGCTGAAAACTTAGTTAGTCGGGTAAATCGGTCAATCAACTTTATTTATTAATTTATTATTTAATAATTTTATTTAAAATGTTTAATATTTTTAATTTCAAATTTCTATTTTACATCACATTTATTAAATTATCTAACATTGACCAAAATCCTAAAAACAATAAATCTAACCTAATTATCTAATTTGAACTATTTTAATTATAAGACATATAGCCTAAATATTTGGACGATTATTATTTGTTGAACTATTTTATGTTTAATTGCAATATATATAGTCCGTAATGTTTTGAATTTTTTTTTATTTGAATATTATTGAACCAGTCATATTTAATTCATAAAAAATATAGCATGCAACAACTAATAAAGTATTAAAAAAAATTAAAAAAAATATTTAGATGGATGACCCATCAACCAACCCACTAAATTGGTTTTTAACCATCACCCAACGCATGTAAATTGGGTTGATAACGGTTTCCAATATTTACCAAAGTCGGTTGGATGGGTTGGATTGGTTTTTAACTAGCCCAACCAACGCAAAGCCCTAGTCGTGGCTGCTAAATTACTGTCTCTATCAGTTATTTAAGTGTCGGAGACATAACAGTTAATTGTTTTTTTTCCTTCAAACAAATTATTTTAATTAATATTTCTATCTTTGCTGCTAAATTAATGTCTCCAACAGTAATGTAACTGTCTGAGACAGTAATTTTATTGTATTAATTAATTTTATCGTCTTGGCCAGCAATTTTGTTGTCTTCGACTAGAATATTATTGTTTCCGACCGCAATATTACTGTCTCATGCAATAATATTACTGTTTGGGGCAGTAATATTAGTAATATTATTGTTCGGGAAAATAATATTCATAATATTACTGTCCCAAACAGTAATATTATTGCCTGAGACAGTAATTTAGCTGCCAAGACAGTAATATTAATTAAAATATTTTTTTCTAAAAAAAATAATAAAAAAAATCAACGCCGTAGACCGGCGGCCAACGGCGGTTGACCGTCTGGAAAGAAATTTCAGAAAAAATAAAAAAATTCAACGCCGGAATCTGGCGAGAAAAACAAAATTAGAGAAAAAAAATTTAGAAAAAAATTGTTTTCTGAAAATAAATATATTTTTTCAAAAAAAATATTTTTTCAATTTGTTTTTATTAAAATAGGGGTTAATGTGATATATTTGTTTTAATCCGGTGTCAATGTGTAATATTAACGAAGTTAGAGTATAATGGATGGAATTGATAAAAAATATATTATGGAGGGTATTTTAGACTAAAGACATAGGGATGGTTTTATTTGAAAGACTTTTTTTGTGGACCAATGTGCATTTAAGTCCCCTGCCATGTCCATTTTTGCCATTAGTCCTTAAAAATTAGGTAAATTACCAAAACAAAAAAAAAAAACATTCATAATTGGGATTTTTGTACGTAAGTTCCTAACCAACCATTTTTATTACTCTAGGTTCAGGGTTATATATCTTTCGCCAGTAGGCCCATCCATTTAATATGTATTATAAAGAAAGGAAAAATTAATGTATATGACAAACTTACACCAAAACTTAATTGTATCTTCAATTTAATCAATTGATAACAAAATTCCAATTTTGACTTTTTTTTGTAACTTTTTTTTTTCGGAAATTATTTTTTTGCTGCCGGTCTCTGACGTTGACTTTTTCGATTTTTTTTATCGATCTACTTTTTTCGCCGCCGGTTTCCGGCGTTGACTTTTTTTTGTGATTTTTTTTTTTTATCATAATTTGTATCCGTATTTTTACGTCCGCCGCTAAACTTTGACCGTATTGTACTGTCATTAACAGTAATTATACTATCGCAGACATTAATTTTACGGCCGTTGACAGTACATTAACGTAATTGTACTTTCGTTGACAGTACATTTATATAATTGTATTGTCATTGCAGTATATTACAGTCAACGACAATATTATTATTATTTTTGGCTTTTTTTAATTTTTAATTTTAATTTTTTTTTGATTTATTGACAAGTCAACGTAATTATATTAATGTCATTGATATTAAAATAACTATAAACACAATAATATTACTGTCAACCGCATCAATTTTTTTTTTTTTGGGTTTTTTATTTTGTTTGAGTTGTTGACGGATTAACGTAATAATATTACTGTCTACTATTGTAATGTTAATGTAAACACTATAATATTACTCTGGTTTACGGTAATATTATTGGTAACCATTTTATTATCAACTCTTTTGGCCTTTTATTATGTTTACCTTTGTTGATCGGCCTACATATTAATATTACTCAATTATAAAATATTAATGACTTTTGTTGTGTTAATATTACTATGTTAGAGATTAATATATCAATATTGTTGTGTTAAACTGTATTATAGTTAATATTAGTGTTTAAGAGTAATATAGTTAGGGCTCGTTTGGTTACCTATATTGGATTAGATTGGATTAACTCCCTACTGACTAATTAATTATTTAGTTTGTAGCATGTTCGGTTTCTTAGATTAGATTTTCTATTAAATTTGTTAAAATCGATTATTAGATATGAATTGTCTATAAAACCACTTAGTTTACAATAATAAAATATGATTTTAAGGATAAAATTGTCTTTTTCCTTTTTAGTCACCCCCTATTAAATTAATCTCAGGGGGAGGGGTGCTACTAATTTAAAGTAATAGTAGCATTTAATAGCGGGCTTTGATTTTAGTAGCAGGTCTGAAAAAGTGTGAATCTTACCAACCGGACATGCTATTAGCCTCTACTATTTAGTCAGTAGAACCTTATAGCGGTAACCGAACGAGCCCTTAATATTACTGTCAACCACAACAATATTGATGTTTAAACAGGATAAAATGATGTTAAAGAGAAAAAAAAAAAAAGGAAAATAAAAAAAGTCAACGTCGGAAACCGGCGGAAAAAATAGGAAGGAAAAAAAAATTCAACGGCGGTGACTGGCAAAATTGTACTCAAAATTTAGTTTTTGTTCAAAATTGAATAATTTGTAAAATTTGGGGTCGAATTGAGGTTAAATAAAATTAAATGATAAATTTGGAGCATATTATAATATGATGGGCTATTTTAGTCTTTTACACACCTCTAATAACGTGTGGACCTTTTTGTAAAAGAACTTTTTGTTTAGACCCTTTATAAATAAGTATCCATCGATGAGCTTATTTGTAATATGCCCTTCATAATTACCAAACAACCCATCTGATTAATGGTTAACCAAATATTTTAACACAAAAATATGAAAGGTCTATAATACCCTTCAGTTAAATGAAAATTAGTAAAGCCGTAACTTACACCAAACTATAGTGTGGTCTAGTTAGCGAAAAACACGTTAAATATTCATAATTACTAAAAACATCCCAAGGTTTGTTTTCATGTAACAAAGACCCATACATGATTGATTTTTAAAATTGTCTTTGAAGGTTTAAAGAATTCAACAACTTCTTGCAGATTCCGACGGCGGAGGTCATAGTGTTCATGCAGAGGCTTTTGGTGATTTAGTGTTCAACTTCACCATCATATATTTTTGCTTTGATGAATTTCGAGTATATTTCGACAAATTTCTAATGACTTTAATTTCTAGTCATATTTATAATATCAAAATTTTACATTTTTTATTTTTGGTTTTTTTAAAGCAAATTAGAATTAGTTGTTTACCTAGGAAAAAAAAAAAACCCTAAAAACCTATATATTTTTTGAAGGTGGTGATTCCCCTCATTATTTGAGAAGACATACTAATTACTAGGTGAAGTGTTGAGTGTAGATTTTACACTCAATATGTTTACTTTACATTGATCTTTTGTTTAAATTTAATTATATTTGTACTTTAATTGATAGATTTTGTGTTTTATAGGTGAAAAATGAGATGAAGTGTCCATGAACGAAAAATGATAAAGAAGAAAAAAAAAAGTTGCAAATAAGGAAATAAATCATATTGAAAGAAGGAATCTCCCAACAACTTTTGCAGTGTGCACAATTTCAATCATAGTTCTCTCATACGAACTCCACATCACCTGATTCTAGCGGCAATGATGAGCTATTTGCAACGGCTATAATTCTTATTCCACGCAACTTTCCAACTTTTGGACTCCAACATGGTAAAAATCGAAGAACATATCCGGGTGGGGCAAAGTGACGGCAATTGAATCCTATTAGGTTTCTACTACTTCCTTATCAAGAAAAGTCTATAAAAGCAACAAGTTTCTACACCATGAGG